TTAAGACTTATTTGCCCACAAATCTCCATGTGATGGGGGTCAAGGCTGGCAGCTCAGGGGCTGAAGCTGAAGAAGAGCTGCTTGGAGGCTGGAGGGGGACACGGCACTGGGGGACGAGGTCACTGGTGGCCTTGGCAGTGCTGGGCTAACAGTTGGACTGGATGACCTTCAAGGTCTTTTCCAGCCAAAAAAGTTGGATGATTCCATGATTCTCCCAGCTGGAAGGCTGAGATGGGGCAGCCCCTGCAGCCTCATCACGTTTCTCAGGGCTTTGTCCCCCCTCCCCTGTCCCCTGTGCCATTGCAGCCCCAGGCTAAAGGCAGCAACAGCCTCAGGGCAGGGTGTGCAGTCTGAACTGGCCCCTTCCGTGGCACAGCAGCGATGTTCCCTCTGGAAAATTCACCCTGGGAGAGTAGGATGGCTCCTGGGGCAGTACAGGTCACTGGGGCCTGGACCCCCATTCCAGAAATTAGGTGTAAACCTGAGAAGAAAAAGCAAACCCATTCTTTCTGCCTGCATCCCTGCCTGTTCACACAGACCAAGGCCAGAGCCGCGTGTTTCGGCAGCCAGAGCAGCACAGTCTGGCTTTCCTGGGCAGGAGGGTGTTTGCACCCTGGTGCTTTCCCAGGCCCAAGTGTTTCCCTGGCTCAGAGCTCCCCTGGATCCTGCCTGTGCTGAGCCAAAAAGGGCCAAAAGCCCAACCAGAGGAGGGGAGCAGCACACCGGCACCACTCCATCCATGAGAGCCTCCATCCTGGGGGAAAGGGGAATTTTGGCTCTTGCACAGCTTGTACCAGAGGAGCTGAGACCCTAGGGACCACCAGGGTGGGGGGCAAATGGCTTTCCAGAAACTGCTGGAGAGAAGAGGAGGGGGAGCAGATCTTCCTCTAGGGAGAAGCAAAGCTCTGGTGCCATCAGGCTACATGGACCCAGACCTGTTAAAGGCAGGAAACAGGGATGAATTCCAGGGGAGGGGGGGGGATAAGGAGCATGGGGAGCCTTTCTGGTAGGGGTCCTGCACCCCTCCTCTGCCCCCCCTGGCCCCTAGCCCCCCTGGCTGTATGCAGAAACAGACATTTTTGGGAGCGGGCTGGCGTCGCTGCCCACTGCCCGCCGGGTTGGGTACAAAACCATAATGGAAAGTTACAATAACCTTTATAATATAGCAATATATTTCATAGTTAAAATAAACTATTATGCTTTCCCCTAGTGTTAAAAAAGAAGCGAGCAGTAAGGAGGCAAGATGCAAACCCAGGGCCAAGCTCCTCAAGTCCAGACAGAAACGTCTGGGAGTTTGCAAAGAGGACGTGGGGTTTTCCTGGGGGTTTTCAGACGTTTCCTTGCAGGCAGCGCAGGGAGGAGGTTCATGGAGCCACAAAAATAACCCAACAAAAATAACCCAACAAAACCCCGAGGCTGTGCCAAAAATGAGCCTGGTTGTGGCTGGGTGGGTGCTGGGGGGGTCTGGGGTTTGGCCCCGCTGGGGGTGCTTCCCGGCTCCGTGGTTTGGCATCTCTTTGGGATGAAAACTCGGCGTCGTGGTGCTGCTGCTCTTGTGCTTTTCCTCCGCCGCGGTGGCTGGTCCCAGCTCTTCCTGTCACTTGTTCCGGGGCACTTGGGGGCCAGAGGTGCCAAAACTAAGTTATCAGGCATGTGACAGCACCGGCTGGGGGAAGGACAGGGGTGGAAAGGGGAATGCAGGCGGGTGTAGGGGGTGGAAAGGGAGTGCAGGGGATGGGATGGGATGTGCAGGAGGTGCAAGGTGTGGGATGGGGAATGTAGGGTGTGAGATGGGGGTGCAGGGGTGTGCAGGATGTAGGGTGTGGAATGGAGGTGCAGGGTGTGGGATTGGGGTGCAGGGGTGTGCAGGATGCAGGGGGTGGGATGGGGGTGCAGGGTTTGGGATGGGGTTCAGCCCCAGGCCTGCAAGGTCCTGGGCAGAGGGCTGGTTTTGGGGTGCAGATTGTGTGGAGGTGAGCCTGGGGGTGCTGGGTGTGGGGTGCGAGGTGCAGCGATCACACCAGCTCCTGGCTCTGCTCCACGCCCAGGATCTCCTGCTGCAACTGCAATCCCAGAGCTCTCCCCGCTGGTCCTTCCCTCCTTGAGTCCCGGTGAGCTGCCAGTGCCTGGTTTTCTTCTGGCTCTCCAAGATCCCGGGCTCCACCTCAGCTCCTCACCTTCTGCTCAGCCCTGGAGCTCATGCCCATTTGCTCCCGCTGGAAGCCTGGCAGAGGCTGGGAGCATTTCTCCCCCCTGGCTGCCCACAGTCCATTGAAGTTGCTGAATTTCAGGCTCTTTCTCAGAATCTGCAACATTTTCTCCCTTGACAGGCTGGAAACCCACTTCCAGAGGTGGGCAAGAGCTTCTCCTGCTGGGGAGGAACCACACTGGGAGCTCATTTTGTAGCAATCCCGCAGCCTTCTTTCTCATCCTCCTCCTCCGGCCCTGGGGGGGAACGCCCCTCACGAACTACTGCTTGTTTTCTTCCTAACCTTGATTGCAGGGCACAAGGAGTAGAACCACCTACCAGTGGCAGCAAGTGGAGTTTTGCACAGAAGAATTCCTGGGCATCAGGCTGCTACGTCCCTGCCTACGTGCGGGCAAAATCCGGCATTATTTATGGAAGGGGAAGATTTAGGGAAGAGATTACAGGCTGAGTATACCTGGAGTAACACAGTGACTTTGATTACAATTACTGACGCTGCTGGGCAAGGTGTAATTAATATTGTGGATTAATTACATGGTTACTTCATCTGTTTAAAAATATATAAATAGCCTCTGCTGAGTTTTCATGGAAAGCAGCAAACACGGGCCCCAAAAGTGGAGCGGGGCGGCAGCAGGCAGGGGTCCAGCAAGGACCTGGCTGAGCCTGAACACACCCCAGGGCAGGACTGGGGGGGGAATAGGGGAAACTGGGAATGGGGAAGGGAAAATGGCTGGTTCCAGAAGTAGCCAGCTGGTGCCCGAGGGTTCTTTGGGCAAAAAGAATTATTTAAGATGAAGCAGGAGGGGCTGCGCTTCGGCGGGCGGTGCCTGAAGCCGATGGTGCTGCTGGTCCCCACCAAACCCAGCAGAAGCAGCACAAAGGCAACGGGCGTTGTTTTAAACAGATGAAGTCCCTGTCCCCGCTACCACCTCGCTCGCCAGCCAACCCCTGGCTCAGCTCAGGGGGATTCGGTGCTGCCAGCTGAGCAGGAGCGCCGGCGTTCCCGGTGCCAGCGGAGGTGCTTGGAGCCAATGGGTTTTTTCACCCAGTAGTTCTTAGGCCACCACCAAGAGCTCGGTGGCTTCCCAAAATACTGCTGGGGGGCTCATGGGTAGGCAGTGATGGGAGCACCAGGGACCCCCCCTCAGCGCCCAGGGCTGGCCCGCCAGCCCCCTTGGTGGCCATCCTGCTTGTTTTCTTCCTAACCTTGATTGCAGGGCACAAGGAGTAGAACCACCTACCAGTGGCAGCAAGTGGAGTTTTGCACAGAAGAATTCCTGGGCATCAGGCTGCTACGTCCCTGCCTACGTGCGGGCAAAATCCGGCATTATTTATGGAAGGGGAAGATTTAGGGAAGAGATTACAGGCTGAGTATACCTGGAGTAACACAGTGACTTTGATTACAATTACTGACGCTGCTGGGCAAGGTGTAATTAATATTGTGGATTAATTACATGGTTACTTCATCTGTTTAAAAATATATAAATAGCCTCTGCTGAGTTTTCATGGAAAGCAGCAAACACGGGCCCCAAAAGTGGAGCGGGGCGGCAGCAGGCAGGGGTCCAGCAAGGACCTGGCTGAGCCTGAACACACCCCAGGGCAGGACTGGGGGGGGAATAGGGGAAACTGGGAATGGGGAAGGGAAAATGGCTGGTTCCAGAAGTAGCCAGCTGGTGCCCGAGGGTTCTTTGGGCAAAAAGAATTATTTAAGATGAAGCAGGAGGGGCGGCGCTTCGGCGGGCGGTGCCTGAAGCCGATGGTGCTGCTGGTCCCCACCAAACCCAGCAGAAGCAGCACAAAGGCAACGGGCGTTGTTTTAAACAGATGAAGTCCCTGTCCCCGCTACCACCTCGCTCGCCAGCCAACCCCTGGCTCAGCTCAGGGGGATTCGGTGCTGCCAGCTGAGCAGGAGCGCCGGCGTTCCCGGTGCCAGCGGAGGTGCTTGGAGCCAATGGGTTTTTTCACCCAGTAGTTCTTAGGCCACCACCAAGAGCTCGGTGGCTTCCCAAAATACTGCTGGGGGGCTCATGGGTAGGCAGTGATGGGAGCACCAGGGACCCCCCCTCAGCGCCCAGGGCTGGCCCGCCAGCCCCCTTGGTGGCCATCACCGCATCAGTTCAGGTAGCCGTGCCCGGCACCGCGTCCCCAGGCGTTAGGCACTGCATTCCCAGCTCCAGCACGGGTCTCCTGGCAGAGTGTGACACCAAGGGCTGGCAAGAAGAAACGTCCCTTCTTCTGCCTGGGCAGGAAACACGGCTCTGGAGAACCCCCCTGGGGCAGGTCACGGCCGGACACAGCCCAGCAATGCGGTGGGGGGGGTCGGTGGGTCCTGGTGAGGGGCTGGGATGGAGCATGGGCAGCAAAGATCAGAGCCTGGGCAAGAAACCACCAGGTTGGCACCTGCCCGGGGCCAGCGAGAGGGGCAGGGGGCAAGGAAAGCACCCCAGCCCCTGGAGGGCTCCACGCAGAGGAGGAAAACTCTCCCTCTGGTGTCTCCATTGCTTCAGTGCTTCGGACTTGTTGGTTTGTTTTCAAATGTGAAGACCTGAGATTGAGCGTGGGTTTTCTGTCTGGCACCGTCCCCTTCCGTCACCACGAGTAGAGGCACCTGAACGGGGACATGGTTCCCCACACCAAGGCGTTGGCAAAGCTCCGAGTGTCACTGCTGGTCCCACCGGCTCCGGCCGAAGGGCCCTGCAGCGCGTCGAGGACCAGAAGAAAGTCCCTGGAGACCTCGGGACCTGCGCGGAAACGCTCCCCCTGTCCGGGGAGGGGGTTCCGGGGGGGCTGCGGTTTAGCAGCTGCTTGAGCTTGTGTACGGGGTGGGGAAGGAGGTGGAACTAACCCCGATGGGGCTCTCGGAAAGAGGAGTTTGGGGGGTGGCCACGGGCACCCCGACCCCCCGCACCTCCAGGACGGCGGCGAGGAGGCGCTGGTGCTGCTGGCGCAGCAGGTCGGCCATCAGCAGCGGCAGGGAGCTGAAGTTGGTGCTGAGCTGCTCCAGTTTGGACTCCAGGCTCCCAATCTGCTTCTCCAGGTCCTCGCTGCGGTCGTTGAGCTCGGTGATGAGGTCGTACATCACGTTCTGCATCTGGGGGAGGGACAGAGGGGGTGCAGGGTAGTCAGTGCCAGGGTTAGAGGGGTCAGTGCCACGGCCTGGGGGGGGGTCACTGCCATGCCTGGGGTGCCACAGCCACTGGCAGAGCCAAGTTCTTTTATGGGCTGAGAGCCACGGTGTCCCAGCCCACTCTGTGAACTCACAGGACACTGTCACTGCACAATATCCCATTGAACCCTGGGCAGGAGGGGGGAAGGGATGACCAGTCCTGTCCTGCCAAGCTGTGGTGCCCCTGGCTGGGGCTGCACAGTGGTGGGGGAGCAAAGGCCTTTCCTGGGAGCTGGGTGACCCCTTTGCAGCCCCAGCCTTGTGGCAGCCATCCCACCACAGCTATTCCCAGCTGACGTTCCCAAGCCGGAGCATCTCACGGTCAGCCAGGTCTGCTTGAGTTTCTCCAAGTAAAAAGAAACACATGGGCAGCCAGGAGAAGCCAAGAGATGACTGCAGGCACTTGCCTTGGAGAGGTCAACCAGAGTGTTGGCTTGGTCACTCAGCTTCCTCTGCTCCATCTTCACGCTCCGCAACCTGGGGAGGAGGAAAGAGCAACATGGCTGCATCCCCCCCAGCTGCAAACCACAGCCCAACACATCATGACCCATGGAAAATTGTCCCTGTGCCCCTGGACCACAATCCCCCCAAGGCTGAGGCTCAGCACCCCCCCCTCCCACAGTGTCCAGCCCCTTACTGGTGAATGGCTTGGAGGAACTTTCTCTGGTGCTTCCTGACTTTGGCATGGTCGATCTTCTTCAGCAATTTGGTGTGTTTGTAGATGAGCCACGTTTCCCTCAGGACATTTGCTGCTGCGTTCTTGATCTGTGAGGGGAGAGTTGGCTGCAGGTCATGGCACTGTAGGATTTCACAAAGATACTGGCCTGGCTCTGCCATGAGCTGGTGCTGCAGGAGGACTTGACCTCCTTGGCTGGAGCCAGGCCCTCAGCTCCACTCTTGCATCTTTGCAAGAGATCATGGGCATGACCCCTAGTGCACCCATATCCCTTTCCTACCAGTACTGATCCTGGAGGAAAAGGACCTGGGGGGGTTGGTTGACAAGGGCTGAACATGAGCCAGAGAGTGCCCAGGTGGCCAAGGAGGCCACCAGCATCCTGGCTGGTGTCAGCACTGGGGTGGCCAGCAAGACCAGGGCAGGGATTGTCCCCCTGTGCTGGGCACTGGGGAGGGAACACCTGGAATCCTGGGGTCAGGTCTGGGCCCCTCAGGATAAGAAGGACATGGAGGGGCTGGAGCGTGTCCAGGGAAGGGCAACGGGGCTGGGGAAGGGGCTGGAGCACAAGTGTGAGCAGGAGCAGCTGAGGGAGCTGGGGGTGTCCAGCCTGGAGAGCAGGAGGTGAGGGGAGACCTGCTGGCTCTGCAGCTGCCTGAGAGGAGGTTGGAGCCAGGGGGGTCGGGCTCTGCTCCCCAGGAACAAGGGATGGGACAAGAGGAAAAGGCCTCAAGTTGCCCAGGGGAGGTTGAGGTTGGATCCTGGGAACAATTCCTTCCTGGGAAGGGTTGTCAGGCCCTGGCCCAGGCTGCCCTGTCCCTGGAGGGGTTTCCAAGATGTGGTGCTGAGGGACCTGGGGCAGTGGGGACTGGGCAGGGCTGGGGGAACAGTGGGACTGGATGACCTTAAAGGTCTTTTCCAACCCAAACCATCCCATGATGCTCCACCTCCAGGCTCCTCACCCGTGTGTGAAGCTGCACCCTGAGATTCAAGAAAACAAAAAAAATCTGCAAGTTTTTCTGCATTCCCACACCCATCTGCCACGCTTGGCAGGTCCCAGCCAGGCTGTCAGCACAAGGATGAGATTCCTCCTGGCTCCATGGCCGACCCGCAGCCCAGCTGCTCCCTCCGAGAGGAACCGGCCCCGCCTGCCTGGATCGGGGCGGCAGATCCGGATCCAGGCTCCGGGGCTCGGGGCTCCCTGGTTGTTGCCTTTCCCAGCCCAACCATTCTGAGGCCCACGACCACCCCCAGGCGATGAGGCTGTGCTCACTGGGGTGAAGTGGAGCACCGGTCACAATCCCAGCACTGGGGTCACCCCTCCAAGGGCTGCACCAACACTGGCTTTGTTACCGTCCCCTCCATAAATGATCCCACCGCTGCCACCGCTTTGCCGCAAGGAGAGAGATGCTCTTTGCCACAAGGATGAGACCAGAGACCCCCAACACGCTGCTGGGAACATGATGCTGGATCCCAGTACAACCAGTTGACTGCCTGGACCCCCCACTAGAGCTGCCATCTCTGGGTCCCTCCACGGGCTGGGAACAGCAGGAGCCCCCAGGCACGGCGCTGAATCACGGGCACCAGCTGCATTCCCGGCAGGAGGTGGGTGAGATCCTGCTCAGTGGGAGGACGGAGGCTGCACTCCCCGGGGGGAAATAAAAGGGGCTCTTCCTGGCAGGGGAGCAGCCAAACCCCCGGCATTGCCCAGACCCTGGGAGGGAGCTGGAGCTGTCTGCTCTCACTGGAATGCTTCCACTCTGCTGGATCCCAGGCCCTCAGGCACCTCCCTCCTGTCATAGGACCCCCACTCCAGGGTACCAACGCCTCCCTCCCCAGCCCCCTGTGCCACCTTACCCTCTTGGTCAGCTGCGTGTCCATCATGAAGTTGTGGACGTGCTTCTCAGCTTTGGTGAGCTCCAGCTTCCTGGCCACCACAGCCACCACCAGTGCAGTGCAGCCAGCACCCTGCATGGGGACAACAGCCAGGGACACCGTTTGCCACCCTTCAGCACCCCTCACAGTGTTCCCCCACTCTCACCAGCACAAAACCCTAATTAGCAGAACCTCCATGGCCCCCACACATCATCCTAATGAGACAACCCAGGGCCCTGCAGGATGGGGACCCAAGATGGGCCTGGGATGGGAGCTGGTGGGGAGGCACCTCAGGAAGAGCAGGGAAGGGGAGCCCTGAACATGGACCCCCTGTGAACTGGAACCTCCTCAAACTGGGACCCCCCCGAATTGCCACCTCTCCTAGCAGCACCAGCTGGGAGCTCGTTTATCCGGGCGATTAGAGCTGGATCTGTGCAGCAGCTGCCAGCTCCCACATGGATTTGGCTTTGGGAAGCCCAGGTGCCAAGGCCCCGCTGCCCACGGTGCTCTGCCCGCACCAGCTGAGCTGCTCCCCCCTCCCAGCACGCTGGCAGACACCCACGGTCCTGGAAAATGCTTCTTAATTTATTAAAGAGTCATTAATTAATATCCTGCTGGATCCTTTAGCATCCCCATGGCCTCACAGCGTGGCCTCAGCTTCCACCAATGGCATCTCCCAGAGGAGCAGCAAGGGGAGCCCAGGGGACCCCCCAGACCTGCCAGGGGGGTCTGTGCTGCTAGGGGAGTGGGAGGAGGGCTATGTTGTGCTGGGTGGTGCCTCAGTTAGAAGTGACAGGCAGGAGGGGAGGTCACAGAGTCCCTGGCACTGGGCTCCTCCCCATGGCTGCTCCCCCACACTGAACTGGGGGGAAACACCAGGTCATCCCCCCCCCCCAAAGGAGTTTTCCCCTCCCAACAGCATCAGCCGTGCTGGACCCCACCTCAGGTGAGGCAGATCAAAGATCTGCAGATAATATAAAAATAATACCTCCTGGCAGATCTGCTCTCATGGGCTTTGGTGGCAGCAGAGCCAGATGCAGATGGTGCCCAGCTGGGACACAGGGACAGGGGTGGCTCTGTCCCCAGGGCCTGGGGCTGAGGGGGCAGAGCTGGGGGACTGGGGCCAATCTATGGAGGGTCCCCAGCTGGGACATTTCACAGGCTCCTTGGAGCAGGTACCCCAGGAGGCGCCAGGGGATGGTGACCTCTGAGCAGGACACGAAGCTGCCGCCGAGCGGTGACACCGGCAGGAGGTGGAGGGTTCCCAGCTGGTCCCAGCTCCTGGGACCAGCAGCATTTGGGATCACTCCGGCTGATGGAAACCAGATGACACCGGCAGGAGGTGGAGGGTCCCCAGCTGGTCCCAGCTCCTGGGACCAGCAGCATTTGGGATCACTCCGGCTGATGGAAACCAGACAGTGTGAGCGGGGGTGGCCAAGGGATGCTCAGGGGCCCCTCCTGCTCCCTGGGGACATCCCTGAGCCTGCCACAATCCGGCTACCAGATCCAACCTAAATTCACCAGTGGGGACCATGGGGCAGGGAACCAGCTGGTGTCCCCCACTGCACCCCACTGCAAAATCCAGCCTGCACCACCTCCTGAACCCCCACACCCTGCTAATTACTGTGCTCACGATAATTGCAGTTATGGCTCCATCAGCTTCCAGGCTGTGAGACCTTGGAGGCGAAGCTGTTACACCTCATCCGTGGAAAAAAAAAGCTGGGAAGCAGGTCCCTCTAAGACCCAGTGTCCCCGTGGTGGGGACAGGCAGAGCCCTCAGAGTGGGTGCCCGGCTTGGCACGGCCCTTACCATGATGCCGGTGAGCAGACACACGCCCTTCCCACAGTAGGTGTGTGGGACCATGTCACCATAGCCAATGGACAGGAAGGTGATGGAGATGAGCCACATGGCCCCCAGGAAGTTGCTGGTTACATCTTGCTGGTCGTGGTACCTGCCGAGGAGATGCAGGGCAGCAGTGTCATTGCAGGGGACAGGGATGGCTGAGGGGAACAAAGGGGGACACAGCAGCTCCTCGGCACAAGGCCGTCCTGAGCGACGTGGAACGGGGTGACAATGCAGGATGCCCCAGAGTGACAGCAGTTGCACAATTTCTTCTGCAGGAAAAGCTGCATGTCCAAAATCAGAGCAAAAACTCCTCGGGAAGGGCTTCTGCTTCCAGCCAGACCTGTCACTATGTCCCAGTCCCGCCACCTGTGTCTCCGGTGCCATGTGGCAGTGAGAGCAGGGGGACGGGAGGAACAGCTGCAGCTCCACCAAGTCCCCACTGCACCAGCTCATCCCCGGCATCCTGCTCTGTGTCTCACTTCCTCAGTGTCCCCTTCCTCTGTGTCCCTGCTCCGTGTCCCCAGTCGTCTGTGTCCCCCCTCCTCTGCACGACCCCCTGCCCTGCCCCAGGGACAGGCCCGGATCCTGCCAAGCATCCGGCAGGCACTTGGCTCGGCAACAGCGCGGGGGGAGCAGCTCCGGCCCCGGAGACGAAGCACACATGGAGCAGCCGCCACTTCAGGGATGCTGCAAACTTTCCATGGCCACGTCCCATCCCGGCAGAGCTGCGAGGTCACTGACTGTCCTGGCCAGGCCGGCAACCGGCTGCGGCTCTTCCGGCAAACACGCAACCGGGGCCCCCAGCCGAGTCCAGCTCCCCGAGCCCCCCACGAGCCCAGCTGAGCTGCACAGGGCTCCTCCCAGGGATGCTTCCTGGGGGATGCTTCCCAGGAGCAGGACCCGACCCAAGCCCTGGCATGAGCAGACAAGCAGCACCTTCACCCCAGTGTGGGCAGGACAGCCCCTCTCCTGCCCGCACCCATCCTTCTCCCTGCAGTCTTCTCCCAGTCTCCTCAAGAAAACATTTGAGGGAAGCCAGATGGAGATTTTGGCAATCCCCAATCTCCCCCCCTAGTTCATCCCTGCTCCCAGAGCAGTTGGGTTTTCTCTACTGAAATGTTTTTCCCCCAAGTAACAGGAGGCATGAACAAGATCCTGGATCAGGGAAAAGAGTTCTGACCTGTGGCAGGGGGAGAGTCAGAGCCCATCTACACAGCCACAGGGTTCCCCAAAACCCTGGCACTGAACCCCCCACATTCCCCTGGAAAAGGCTGAGCCCATCCCACAGGATGTGAGCCCACAGGAATGACCCTGGGAACATCAAGGGGGTTCCAGCACAGCCAGACAGGCAGACATTTGCTCATCCCAAAAGCACTTTGAGCAGAAGGAGCAGATAAGGGGACCCGGAGTGGCACATGCCAAGGGCTGCCACAACCAGTTAGACCCTGGCACCGGTTCCCATCACTCCCTTGTCCATCAAGGTCACTGCCAAAGTCACCAGCCAGCAGGGCTGCCACGAGCATCGCCCCGTGCCGCGCCACACCGAGCACAGCGTGGCCGTGCCCGGAGCCCACGGCAGCACCTGCTC